AAATTGGTCATATCTGTTTACATCCCCATCTGCAGCTGTGAGGGTTCAGGTTGCTTCACTATCTCACAGTGTTTTCTAGCTTTTTATTTTAGCCATTCTAGTACTTGTGGCATTGAATTGTGGTTTTAATTTGCACTCTCTATGACTAATGAAATTGAGCACCTTGTTGTGTTTATTGGCCGTTTGGAGATCCCCTTATGTAGAGGGAATAGTCAAATCTTTTGCCTTTTTTTCTGTTGGGTTGTCTGTCTCTTTTGTATTTTTGTCTGTTACTGCTCTACCCCATTGCATATGCCTGCTCAGAGGCTTGTCTTCCCTTCTGACCATGAACGCCTGGAGATTCCTGGGCCCTCAGTGCCTAGCAAATTCCTCAGATGATAGATCCTGAATGCACGTTTGCTTTTGATGAAATAAACCACCTTTGATCCATATTTTGCAGGAGGACAACCGTTCTTTTTATTTATTTTTCTATCTATTTATCTATTTATTTTTAATCTTCAGAGTTTTTTATTTTTTATATTAATTTAAAAAATCACTTTTACATCATTGTTAAACAATAATTCTTCCCCCCACTCCCTCAGGTGTAGTCCTCATACAGTTTTCTTCACCAGTGCACCCGTGCACCATCACCTCAGTCCCCTGTGTTCCTCCCTCCCACCCCTGAACCCTCTCCTTCCTCCTCCCCTGCAGGATGTCTCTGATTTATAATTGTCCATTTTTGCTTTGTTGTGTTTTGTACTGTTATTTTTTTTACACTGATGTCTTATTTGGTTCCCCTATATTCCTGTTATAAGTGAAACCATCCTATATTTTCTTTTTTCCATCTGGCTTATTTCACTGAGCATAATTCCTTCTAGTTCCATCCACATTTCTGCAAATGGCATGAGTTTATCTTTTTTGGTTGCTGAATAATATTCCATGGTGTATATATGCCACATCTTCTTGATCTAGTCATCTATTTTTGGGCATTTGGGTTGTTTCAAGGTTTTACCTATTGTAAATAATACTGCAATAAACATAGTGGTACAGGTGCTCTTTTGAATCAATGTTTTTGTTTTCCTTTGGGTAGATACCTAGTAGTGGAATTGCTGGGTCATGTGGTAGCTCCATTTTTAGGAGACTGAGGTCATATTCACTGGATAAGGAGATTTTTATTTGAGTAAATGAACTTAGGTTGGACAACCTATAAGGCCCCTTTTACTCTGAATTGCTGCAATTATCTTAACTACCCGGTGGGTGACATCCATCTCTGATCAAATTTATTTCTAACTGTCCTACCTGGGCTGTTTTGAACACACAATTCAGTGACTTCTGGTCTCTGTTGGCATGTGGGGTCTGCACGAGATAATGCATCTTCTATATACTATTGCTGTCTAACAAACAACCCAACATAATGATTGTAGAAAACCACAGCCAGTTTAGCATGTTCATCAATTCAGTGGGCCAGCATTTGGGGCAGGTCACAGTGGGTTGGTCAATGATGTCTTGTCCTCAACTGGAAAGACTTGAGCCACTGGGGACTGGAACTGGAGTGCCTAAAGGGGCTTCTGCATTTGACCTGGGCTTGCTCACACTATGGCAGCCTCCAGCTGCATAGCTAAATTTCTTATGTGACAACTCAGAGCTCCAAGTGCAAGTGTGCTAGCAAATGAGACAGTAGCCACATGCCTTACTGATCTAACTTGGGAAACCACACAGCTTCACCTCCACTGTCCTCTGGTGGTTGAAGCAGTCACAAGTCCACCTAGGTATAAGGGGAGGGGAGCTAGTTTTCACCTCTCAATGGGGGAGTGGCAAAGCTGCCTTGTAGAAGAGGCTGTGGGGTGGGAGACATTGTATTCATCTTTGTCCAATACAGTCTCATAAGGTACCTTCTTTTTCCCCCGTGAAGAATTCTCATTTTGTGTTATCACTCGGCTTTGGTGCGTTTCCAGATGTCTGTTTGCAGCCTCCAGAATAAACCACCAGAGTAGGGAGTTTGGGGCCAGTGGCTTCCCTTCTCCCATTACCACCCCCTGTACAAATGAGGTCCCCCTTGGACAGATGGTGGGTAGCCAGGCACAGAGCAACTGTTCTACAGGAGCATGTTCCCTGGGGCATAGATATTGGTGTTTCGTGATTACTGTTCATTTGTGGGTGTGATAGTGATATTGTCAGGCTAAGAGTGTCCTTGTGCTGGAAGGGTGTTCACTGAAGTGTTAGGTAGACTGTATGAACTTGCTGATGTCTGTTAATTTTATTATGGTTCAATCTAATATTTAGGACCTGCTTGTTATGATGTCCACAACCTATAGCTAACACACATGGTTTAGAAAAAAGTGTGTGTGTGTGTTTGTCTAATAAGGATTGGATCTGCCCATGCAGACAGCAACAAATAGAAATAAGACCAAAGGCAAACGGAGGCTGAGGCATTTCTGTCTGCCTTCCTTCCATCCAGGACTCCCAGCCATAACCTGCCTCTGGGTGGGTTGGGGGTGCTAGTAGGGCTAAGTGGGGCCTCTGCAGGCCTGAATGATGGCCAGCCTCAGTGGATGAAGTGAGCTTGTCAGTTTTCTGTACAGAGAACTCCTGAGTCCCTATCCTGGAAGGGCCAGCAGGGAGGGTGGTGCCCTTTCTAAGTACCCTGGCCATCAGGATGTCAATGAGAACTTGGGCAGAGAAATGCTTAGGAGGCTCTGGCTATGGGTGTAGGAGGAAAAAGGGCACAGGGTGGGGGCAGCTGTGGATTACTGGAGGTGGTCAGTTCCTGGGAAGGCCATGACAGGAGCAGGTGCAGAGATGAGAAGAGGCAGGGCCTTCAGCCTCCACTCCAGGATTTGTGTATCCTTCAGGGGCTTTTGAAACAGCCCCTGTCCCCTGCAGCAAGAGGGAAAGAAGCTGAGATGGGGCAGGGGAGGGATGGTGGCAGGGGTCCACTTGTGATGTCACAGGGTATCTCGCCCTTCTGGAGCAGTGTGCCCCCAGAATCTCAGGAACCAGATCCCACTGGGCCTCCCCAAAGCCCCCACACCCTCCTACCTGGAAATTCTCAGGCAGTTCAGAGACAGAGCTGGCATGGGGAAGCTCATCCCTGTAAATCCTCTGATAGGCCGTGAAAGCCTGGGCATCTTTCTGCTTTCCCATTTTACTGACTGTGTAGAGGGTGTAGGCCACAGATGTGACTACGGCAGGAGACTCCCTAGAGAGCATCCTCAGGTGCACACCTTTGGGTGTGCCCAGGCAGTGCTCTGTGCTCTCGAAGCATAGGCCAGATGTGCAAATTATGCAGCTGTGCCCAGGGTTGAGCACAGCATAGCTTGCTTTTCTTGGAAATCATTGGTGATTTGTTAGAAAAACAGGAAACATTGGGGCCCTGGTGTACATTTTGGCTTTTTTGTTTTTGTTTTTGAACTCCTTTCATCTGTCTCAGAGTCAGGACGTTTTAGGGTTATCTCTGCTCAACCCTGCCCTTCAAGTCTCCTCCCTATAATTCCTTTCCCTCCTGGGCATCATCTCTTTTCTCTCTGCCTCTTGCTTTTTGCTGCCTTCTCCCCCCACCCTCAATCACTGCTGTGGGGAGGGGCCGGGTTTAGGGAACCAGGGGAGCAGGTGTTGTATCTGTATCTTGGTGGTGTATGTAACTTCCAGCATGTGCTTCTGTGAATCTGGCTTCCCCACACCTGTCTACCCACTCTATCCACTCCCTCCCCGCCACCCCCCCATCATAGTGATTAGACAGGAAGCAAAATGGGGTGCTGCACATGGGGACCCACTGCAGCTGGGGCAGATGTTCTGTTGCTGACAATTGGTGGTGATATGACCAGGAAGGATTCTTCATTCCTCCTGGGTCAAACAGGAGTTGAGGGGCCCAGATGTCAATATCCATGAGACCCTGAGACCAAGAGAGAACGGGGCTCTCCAAAGGCTCTAGACAGATGCCTTGATTAAAGAGTAGAGGAATGAGAAGGGCATCTGGGGCTGAGTTCTGACCTGCTCCTCCCAGGCTGAGTCTCAAACACAGGGCTGGGGGCAGCTGTGGTCATTCTGTGCGTTGGGCTTTCAATAATTTCCAAACAGTGCGACTGCTTCCTAGTGTCCCCTGGCAGGATTGGCTTGGGACTCATTGTTTAAAAATATTTATTGATTCATGCATAGAAGTACTGGGGTCTAGGCCAGAGGTGTGGAGGTGAGAGAACTCAGCAGAGACAGAATAGGCAGGGATCAGGAACAGGGAACAGAGACAGAACAGGGAACAGAACAGGCAGATCTACTAAAATACACTGCTGAAGAGAGCAATGGGAGAGACAGGAGAGGTCTGCTGTGTCATATGGGTCAGCTCCCTGGCTGGGGATCAAACTCAGGTCATAACGGTGATAGTGCTGAAACTTATCTCCTAGGCCACCAGGAAGGCCCTGTTTTGGGGCTCTTATTGTCAATCAGGAGTGACCTCTGAACACGTCTGATGGTTAGTTTTGGGGATGTACTCAAGCCTACCCACCCCATAATGTGCCACTATGGAGAGGCCCATCTCCCATTTTATGGATGGATGAAGAAACTGAGGTCCAGAGAGATTACATAGCTTAACCCTTTATTTTCCACTCTCTAAGCAGACCCCATGAGCCAGCAAGGCCAGTGGTTCTTAGCACAGGGAGGTGCTTTGTCTCAGGGGCGCCCTTCTGCTGGGTTTTGCCCAGGGTTTTTATTCAACGTCTCTGCACCACTCCTTCAACTGGGACCTCCCCTGTTCCAGGGGAACTGAGCTTAGGGGCTCCCCTTCTGAAGTCATTCAAGAAGGCTGATATGAAAGATTAGAAACTCCCAAGCCTCCTTGGGAGTATTATTCTAAAAAGCATTAAAATGTCCAGAGATGGATAAGGCATGAAGACTAAGATGGGGAACCGGGATGAGAAATTGAAACACTGATTTAGGGAGCTTCCCAGAAAATGAGTAGATTTGAGGATTTATGGACTAGGGAAGGAGAGTGGGCAGGAAAGTGACTCCTTCTTACATTTGGTCTTGCCTATGAACATCAAGAGGCAACATCAGAGCCGAGGAGCCCACGTTCCCTTTCTTCCTGGTCACCCTTCTTCTGAGGAGCAGAGACTCTTGCCTGGAAGCCTGTGACATCTTTATTTTCACTCACCTGTAATTGAAGTTTAGTGTTTCCTTCCATTATGAACATAGACAACAACCTATAGTCATATTAGCAGTATCTGTAACTTGGTACCAGTAGAAATCCAGATGTTCTCATATCAATTTATGATATCCCATCAATCCAGGAAAAGGAGGGGAACTTCCTCAACTAGATAAAGAAAATCTTTAAAAATCCTACAACTCACATAATACTTAATGGTGAGAAACTAGATGCTTTTTCCCTCATGTCAGAAACAAAGAAAGGTTGTGGCCACTCATTCCTCCTATTCAACTTTGTACTAGAAATTGTAGCTACTGCAAACAAGAGAAGGAAGTAAAAGGTACACAGATTGGGAAGGAAGAAATGAAATTATGTTTGCAGGTGACATTAGTGTATATGTAGAAAATCCCCAAAAATTGACAGAAAAAAATTCCTGGAACTGATAAGTGATTATAGGAAGGTTGCAGAATATAGGATTAATACAAACCGAGTTATTGTTTTCCTATAGTCAAGTAGGAGCAATTGGAATTTGAAATTAAAAATATACCACCATTACATTAACATCAAAAAATAAGATACTTAGATACAGATCTAACAAAAAATGTACAAGATCTAAATGAGGAAAATTACAAAATTCTGATGAAGTAAAAAAAGATCTAAGTAAATGGAGTGATATCCCATGATCTTGGATAAGCAGAATCAATGTGCCACTTCTTCCCAATTTATCTATAGTCCAATGCTATCCACCCAAAATCCCAACAAATTACTTTGTCTAAATCAACAAATTCATTCTAAATTTGATATGGAAAAGAAACTGGGAATAGCTAACAAATAGTCAAGAAAAAGAACAAAGTGAGAACAGATACATCCTGACTCAAGACACACTATAAAGCTACAGTTATCAAAACAGTATGACACTGGTGAAAGAATAGGAGGATAGATCAATGGTACAGAACAGAGAGCCCAGCAAAAACCCATGCAATCGTACAACAAATAGGGAACCCTAATGTAATCTGTGGACTTTAATTAATATTGTTGTGTCAATACAGGTTCATCAATTGTGTCAAATGTACCACACTAATGGAAGATATTAATAATAGGGGAAACTGTGGGCGGCAGGGCATGAGGGAGCAGAGAGGGTATATGGGAACTTTCTGTTCAATTTTTCTGTAAACTAAAACTGCTCAAGAACTAAAATCTATAAAGAGAAAAAAAGAAATAGCCATTTCTTCATCTTCTTATGTCAGCTGAAATCCACCTCTGAGCCCCACCCATCCTGCCAGGAGCTGTCCAAGAGCTCAATTTTTCATTTTTCTCCCATAAACCTCCAAGTAAGTTGCCTTATTATCATGAGGAAAGAGTGAGGGGAAGAAACAATGTACAGAAAGAAAGAAATTAATAGCCCCATAAATTGTCCTGTATTTATACTCTGTGGCCTTTGGAACAGCTCCTGGAAAACTCAGGTTCTGACCTCTTCCTATGGCCTCTGGCAGAGGAAATCAGGAGGAAGCAGGTCTCCAAGCAACCTGCCCACTCTGTGGGTGGCCAAAAATGACTCTTTCAACACCTCTGAAGACTGACTCATTGGGAAGTTACAATAGATGTGATTTCCCCTCAAGGCCTGAGGAATAACCCCTACTGCTTATTTGGTCATAGCATCATGACCACATATTTGGGTGGGGCTTTTGATTTACACGTTTGCACATTCATGTAACTATCTAGGGAGAATCTGACTGTGCCCTGTGCTGGGTACTGGGAGTAGAACTATTAACATGGTGGATGGGCCACTGTCATCAAAGCTGAAAACTCAGTAGGGGCGACAGTTACGTTGCAGGTAGGAGGGAAGCAGAGAGGAGAAATGGGCGCTCATCCCAATGTGGAGTCAGGACGCTGTCCCTAAAGAAGTGGGCTTGTGAGCAGAAGACAGAAGACAGCACATTAAGAACTACATCAGAAGCAGGAGGTAGAAATACTTCTGGCAGAAGGATGACACATGGAGGAAGAACTTCATTTTGGAGCTAGAGGGAAGGTGTGAGACAAACCAGAAGGGAGGAAGGCCCCAGACTTCTTGGGGTCTTGTAGGGTGGGCTTGGGGGTCGAATTTTGTCCTAAGGCAACAGAAAAGCATTAGAAAGATTGAAGGAGCAGGGAGAGAATGACAATCAGATGTGCTTTTTCGGAGCCAGCTCAGCATAGAACAATATCTACGCTATGATCCCATGTATGTAAAAGTAATGCATGTAAGATGTATGTATGTGGGTCTATAAATGCAGTAAAAAGGACTAGAAGTATAATAAGCCAAACCAAGGTGGAGAATGTGTGTGCATTTGAAAAGGGAAAGTGGCTCATGTGTAATGGTGAAGTTAAGAAAAAGTTTGAAGATTTATTCTAGACACTTAGGTATGGCATGCTTTTAAAAAATGTTCTTATTGAGCTATGGTTTATACACAGTAAAATACAAAAATTTTGATGAGTTACTGAAAATATGTACACCCATGTAAAAAGTACTCCCACCAAGATATAGAGCATATTTCCATTATTCCAGAAAATTCCCTCATGCTCATTCCTGGTCAGCTCTCTCTCTTTACCATTTTGATTAATTTCACACATACATACATACACACACACACACACACACACATGACTATATAGATGTAGATATAGATATATATAGTGATGATTTTCTCCCAGTCTATGGCTAGTTTTTCATTTTCTTTATGTCTTTCATAAATGAAGTCCAATTTATCAATTTTTTCTCATATTCCATTGATTTTGCATGATAAGATATCTTTGCTTACTGCAAAATCATTAAGAAATTCTCCTGTGTTCCATCTGGAAGCTTTATAGTTTTAGCTTTTTATAGTTGGAACTATAATCCATGTCTAATTGATTTTGTGTGTTTGGTGTGCTACATGAGCGAAAGATGGTTTATTATTTTCCATATGAATATGTAGTTGTTCAATACGATTTGGTAGTAGACTTTTCTTTCCCCAATGAATCACTTTGGTGCCTTTGTTGAAAATCATTGAGCCATGTAAGTGATGATCTGTTTCTGAACCCTTGGGCTAACACATTTATCTGTTTATCCTTATCCCAGTATCATATTGTCTTGATTTCTTCAGAGCCATTCTTGAAGTCAGATAGCATGCATTCTCTACCTTTGCCCTTCTTTCCCAAAATCATTTTAACTGTTCTAGGTATTCTGTGTTTCCATATAAGTTTTAGAATCAGTTTGTCCATATCTATTTTTTTTAACTTCACTGAGATAATGGTTGAGGTTGCATTGAATCTGTTTATCTGTTTAAGGAAGGGTTGACATAAAATCAATATTGTGTCTTCTGACCCATGGACATGGCATATTTCTCCATTTATTCTTTGGTTTATCTTAAACATATCTTATAGTCTTAAATCTAGAGGTTTCATATATATTTTGTTAAATTTATCTGTAAGATTTTGGTTTCTTGATGCTATTTTGTTATGTTTAAACTTTTCATTTACCAATTGGTAATTACTAATGTGTAGAAATACAATTGTTTTTACATTGATTTTGTATCCTATAACTTTGGTGTGATGGTTTGAAATAGATTCCTTATGATTTTCCACATCTACAATCATACCACTGGGAATAAAGATAGCATTACTATGAGGGACATCCTTCTGTTTCCAGTTTACTGCGAAGTTTTATAATATGTGGGCATTGAACCTTGTTAAGTGCTTTTAATGTAGTTATTAAATGATCATGCGATCATTTCTCCCTCTATTTTATTAATGTGATGAATTAATAAAATGGATTTTGAAAGTTAAAACAACTTATTCTTCCACAGGCACCAAATACCAGGTGCAATGGCCGCCTCCCTGCCCTCCTGTTATGGCTCTTGCAACAGAATCCACACTCCCTCAGCTCTCAGGCATCCCATTCTCCTTGGCCTTCATGAGTTGCACCTTCTCATGTCCTTCTGCTGAGTCTTCATGGGCCTTCTCTGAAAACTGGTGGCCCTGGAGCTGAGCCCTCGGCACCTCACTCTTTTCTCTTCACATGGTTCATGACCTCAGTGACCACAATGTTCTGTGTTCCCGATCTATAGCTTCAGCCCAGACTTCTTGGATCAAAATGGGACATAACTTGGACAAAGCAGGACTCTTACTTCCTCCTCCCAATAGTCTTCTCCCCAAAGGTCCCCATCTTGGCAAATCTGATCCACCAATCCTCATTACAGGAAAAAACCAGGGGATCATGTATCTGAAAAGAGTGCACACCTAGGAGCTTCTTAGGAGTCAAACTTTAACCATGATAAAGCTCCACCTACCTCCTACAGAGATTTTGGTGTGAACTGAAGCCTGGATTTCCTTAATCCATTTCTATCAGATTTAGACATAATATCAGTCTCTGGCTCTGACCTGTCATCGGCGACTTTCAGTTTGCATTGTTGGCATAAGCCTTCCTTTATTCTATGTCTTCAAAATTATATTATTTGGTGAGAAGTTGGGAGAGACTGTATTAGTGTCTGCTGTCCTAATGCCTGGTAGATGGCCCTGGAGTCCTAGACTGGACTAAATGGGGCCCTTGAAATCAGTGTTTATTTCATAAAATATTATAAAAACCGGGCCTCCCCTGGGGGCGCAGCGGTTGAGCGCTGGGCTGCGAAGCTGCCCACAGCCTCTGCAGCGCCGGTTTGATCCCTGGCTGCCAGTGAGGGTCCCACATGACGCGACAGACCTCTCCTGCCCCGCCCACTGCTCCCCTCAGCAGTGTGTTTCTTCTATCTGCCTGGTTCTGTTCCCTGCTCTGGCTCTGGTGAATCCTCTCACCCTCCCGCACTTCTGACTGTACCCAGTGCTTGTATAAATAAATAAATCTTTAAAAAAAAAAAAAGTTGTAAAAACCACACCTGGCCAAGTATCAGGAGGTGTGTCTGATTTCAGTTCTGTCCGCAAACCTTGATGATTTCTTGTTAGAGAATTTCTCTGTGAATGGGATGGGAGGGGAAAAGGTGAGAGATTTTTTCCTGTGTAATTGGGCAAGAATTTAAAAAGAGTGAAAAGAAGGAGACTAGAGAAGATGCATATGCTCACAGCAAGTATCTGTAGCTGTTGGGGTAATGGAGCAAGGATGGGGCAGTTAGTGGTTTTGCGCTTTGGGAAGGAAGAGAAACGACCAAACGAAGAGAAAATGGACTCAACCAGTTTGTCCCGGATTGAGTCCAATAGTAAAGACTCTGGAAGTCACAGTGCTCCCTACAAGCTTCCCCAAACTCTGCGATTCAAATCTGTCTAACAAACTAGAAATGTTTCTACAGAAAGTGAGCAGCCTGTAATGAGTGCAGTTTGTCACAGCGACAGTCTTTTTCCACATCCAGAAAACCCAGAAAGTTGCCAATATATGTGTCATTGGCCTTTCTTGAGCTTTTACATTTACATTCATTTGCTGCTTTATTACTCTGAGCATTTGCTAGCAAACAAGACAGGTTCTAAATTTGAAAGTCGGCAGGATTAAATCATCTCCAGTGCCAGATGCCCGTGGTTTAGCCCAGAGACCCAGAGGATTTGGCTGCTGCCTGGAGTGTATGCCAAAGTAAATTTTTATAGTCTTTTTGTGGTTCCCCATTTTGGCAGTAATTTCATTTTGCCCCATCTCTAGCTTCATTATAGTTTCCTTTAAGTGTTTAAGAGGCTAAATTGCCTAGGGCAAGTGGGGAAAGGACACCATCACTTACCAGTTGAGGAATGCTCTGTGCCTCGGTCTCCTCTTCAGTAGAATGGGATAAAAGAGTGTCTGCCTTATATGGATTCAGTGGGTTAATAAGAGAAAGTGCCTAGAACAGCACAGGGTACATAGTAAACCTTCCATTCCTGTTTGCTGCTATTATTATAATTAATATATGTGAAGGCACCATCATGCCTTCTTTTTTTTTTCTGTTTTCTTTTCAGTACCTTTCCAGATGGTTTTCTGGCTAGAAGGGAACCAGAGAGATCTGAGTTCAAGTTCTGAGTAAATGAGATCATGTGCTTTTCAGAATAAATGAGATCATGCGCGTCAAGCCCCACACACAGCGTCACTGTCAGTGCGGTGCACACACAATGTCTTTCTCCTTCCCTCCTCCATGCGTCCCTCCTTTCTTCTTGGTTGTAACCACAACTTCTTCTTCCTGAGCACTCCCGTGCCCTTTCCTTGGTAAAAAAGAGTATGGGCAAAGTTGGGAAGTAGGCAGAGTTATGCTCACTTAGTAGACCTCCCTCTCTGCTCCCCACCTGCCCCACTCACCACACAATCACCACCTACCTTTTCACATTTCTTTCTTCCAGTGCCTGTTTGCGTGTGGTGCTTGCCTGATAGGACATCTGCTGTCTGCTGTCACTGCCACAATAGATGTCTTTGTGAGCTAAATGCCCCTCTAGGACTCTTGAAAAATGAGCTAAAACAGAGGAAGTGAGTAAAATGAGCCTATGGAGAGTGAATCACTGACCAGGAGAATTCAGCAAGTTCTGTGCAAAGACCTCTTCTGTAGAAGTCTCAGATAATGACACAGAGGTGCAATCATGTGCTCAGACCTTTGAGTGTCTGGAAAACAGAAATGATTTCCTATGAACTTGGCACAGGAAAGGACATATGTTTTGGGAGTCAGGCCAACTTCAGGAGTGCTCCCACTGCAGGTCATAGGAGCTATGACCACAAGAACTTGACCAGATAAATAGCTGATCCCCAACCTGAACTGTAGGAATTATGATAATGGACGGCACCATGGGGTGGTTATGATAATTAAACTAGGTAATCAGGTGGAAGTGCCCAGCATGGTAGCTGACAGAACAGCCTGACTTCCTTCTCTCCCTCCTTCCCTCTCTCTCTCTCCCTCCTTTCTGTCCATCTTTCTTGTTCTTTAGACTGAAACTTACTTATAGAGAACTGACATTCCTATGTAATAGCACAAAGATGTCAACTTTTTTTTACTTTCTAAAATATGTGTTAAAATGCATGACATAAAATTTTCCATCTCAACTGTTTTAAGTGTATAATTCAGTAGCGCTAAGTGTGCTCACATTGTCATGCAGAACTCCTCATCCTACAAAACTAAAGCTCTGCTCTTATTAAACAACACTGCCCCGTTCTCTCCCTAGCCCCAGTGCTGGCAACCACCCTTCTACTTTCTGTTTCTATGAATTTGACTGCTCTGGGTGCCTGATATAAATAAAATCATGCAGTGGTGTGTGTGTGTGAGTGTGTGTGTGTGTGTGTGTGTGTGTCTGGCTTATTTCACTAGCATAATGTTATCAACATTCATCCATATTGTAGTGTGAGACTTTCCTTTCTTCTTAAGGCTGAATAATATTCCTCCTTATGTATATAGCATGTTTTGTTCTTTAGCATTAGTTGATGGACCTTGGGTTACTTCTACTTTTTGGCTGTTAAAAATAATGCTGGGCCTCCCCTGGTGGCACAGCAGTTGAGCGCTGGGCTGCAAAGCTGCCCGCAGCCTCTGCAGCGCCAGTTCGATCCCTGGCCGCTGGCGAGGGTCCCACATAGCATGACAGACCTCTCCTGCCGCCCGCTGCTCCCCTCAGCAGTGTATTTCATCAGTCTGCCTGTTCTGTTCCCCGCTCTGGCTCTGGTGAAGTCTCTCACCCTCCTGCGCTTCTGACTGTACCCAGTGCTTGTATAAATAAATAAATAAATCTTAAAGAAAAATAAATAAAAAATAAAAATAATGCTTCTAGGGGCCTCCCTGGTGGTGCAAGGGGTAAAGACACAACCTGTGAAGCTCACTGCAGCCACAACAGCACAAATTTGATCCCCGGCCAGGGAGCTGCCCACATGGTGCAGCAGACCTCTCCTGACTCACCTGCTGCTCCCCTCAGCAGTGTATTTCAGTCAATCTGCCTGTTCTGTTCCCCACTCTGTCTCTGGTGAATCCTCTCACCCACCAAAACTCTGGCCTGTACCCCAGTTCTGGCCTGTACCCCAGTTCTTGTATGCATAAATGAATCTTTTAAAAAAATAGTGCTCTAGAACACAGGTGTATAAATATCTGTTAAAGTCTCTGCATTCAATTTTTGGGGTATATGCCCCAATGTAGAATTGCTGGATCATATATGGCAGTTCAATTTTTAATTTTTTGAAGAATCACCATACTGATAGTAACTGTCTTCATTCAACATTCCTACCAACAGTGTGCTTACACTGTGCTCACATAGGAAGGCTTACACTTATTAATTTTTATAATGCATTCTAATGAGTATGAGGTGGTACCTCATCATGGTTTTGATTTTCTTTTTTTTCCCTGTGTTTATTTATTTATTTATTATTATTTAAATTTTATTTTTATATTCCCCATACAATTACAACCCCCTTATTTTGACCCCAAGCCCTCCTTTCCCTGCCCCTCACCCCCCATAGAGTGTCTCTGGTTCATAGTTGTTTGTTGATTTTGATATTTTCTTTCTTAGAGTTTTTCTTTTTCCTGCTCCCTTATTTAAGTTTTCTAGATTCCTGCTATGAGTGAAACCATCTGGTTTTTTTCTTTTTCTTTCTGGCTTATTTCGCTGAGCATGATCCCTTCCAGCGCCATCCATATTTCTGCAAATTGCATGTGTTTATCTTTTTTGAATGCTGAGTAATATTCCGTGGTGTATATGTACCACATCTTCTTGATCCAGTCATCTGTTTTTGGGCATTTGGGTTGTTTCCAAAGCTTGGCTATTGTAAATAGCGCTGCTATAAACATAGGGGTGCAGGTGCTCTTTGGAATTGATGTTTCTGTGTCCTTTGGGTAAATACCTAGGAGTGGAATTGCTGAATCATATGGAAGCTCTATGTTTAGTAGGTCCAGAAATCTCCACACAGCTCTCCATAGTGGTTGGACCAGTTTGCACTCCCACCAACAGTGCAGGAGAGTTTCTTTTTCTCCACAACCTCACCAACATTTGTTGTTGCTAGTTTTTTTAATATGTGCCATTCTCACTGGTGTAAGATGGTATCTCATTGTAGTTTTGATTTGCATTTCCCTGATTACAAGTGATGTTGAACATTTTTTCATATGCCTGTTGGCCATTTGCATCTCCTCTTCAGAGAAGTTTCTTTTTAGCTCTTCTGCCCATTTTTTGACTGGATAATTTTCTTTGTTTTTGTTGAGTCTCATCAGCTCTTTGTAGATTTTTGTGATCAGCCCTTTTTCATTAGTGTTGTGTGCAAAAACGTTCTCCCAGTCGGTGGGGTTTCTCTTTGTTTTTGTTATTGTCTCTTTTGCTGTGCAGAAGCTCTTTGATTTGATGTAGGCCCAGCTGTTTATCTTTGCCTTCACTATCACTGCTTTGGGTGATGTGTCTGTAAAAATGTCTTTGATGTGCATGTCATGTAGTGTTTCGCCTATATTTCCTTCTATATATTTTATGGTTTGAGGTGTTATGTCTAGTTCTTTAATCCATTTTAAGTTGGTTTTTGTGCATGGTGTTAGGTAGTAGTCAAGCTGCATTCTTTTGCATGTAGCGACCCAGTTTTCCCAGCACCATTTATTGAACAAACTTTCTTTGCTCCAATGCATATTCTTTGCTCCTTTGTCAAAGATTAGTTGACCATAAATCTGTGGGTTTATTTCTGGATTTTCTATTCAATTCCATTGGTCTGTGTGTCTGTTCTTGTTCCAATACCATGCAGTTTTGATGATTTTGGCTTTGTAGTATAGTTTGAAGTCTGGGAGTGTGATGCCTCCATTCCCTTCTTTTTTATTCAGGAGAGCTTTGGCTATTCGGGGTTTTTTGTGATTCCATATGAATTTCATCAATAATTGTTCTATTTCTTTGAAGAATGACATTGAAATTTTGACTGGAATAGCATTGAATCTGTATATTGCTTTTGGTAGGATGGCCATTTTAATAATGTTTATTCTTCCAATCCATGAGCAGGGGATGTCTTTCCATTTCTTTGTGTCTTCTTCTATTTCTTTTAACAGTGTTTTATAGTTTTCTTTGTATAGGTCCTTTACCTCTTTTGTTAGATTTATTCCCAAGTATTTGATTTTTTTTGTTTTGATAATAAAAGGGATGGTTTTTTTTTTATTTCTTCTTCTTCAGATTTATTGTTTGTGTACAGGAAGGCTACTGATTTTTGCACATTGATTTTGTATCCTGCCACTTTTACTGAACGGATTGATTAGTTGAATTAGTTTTTCTGTGGAGTTTTTGGGGGTTCTCTATGTATATTATCATATCATATGCAAATAGTGATAGTTTGACTTCTTCTTTTCCTATTTGGATTCCTTGTATGTCTTTCTCTTGTCTTATAGCTCTGGCTAGGACTTCCAGTATTATATTGAAAAGCAGTGGTGAGAGTGGACATCCTTGTCTTGTTCCAGATCTTAATGGGAATGCTTTCAGCTTTTCGCCATTGAAAATGATACTGGCTGTTGGCTTGTCATATATGGCCTTTATGATGTTGAGGTATGTTCCTTTTATCCCAAGAATTTCAAGGGTTTTTATCATGAATGGGTGTTGCACTTTGTCAAAAGCTTTCTCGGCATCTATTGATATTATCATATGGTTTTTATATTTCTTTTTGTTGATGTGTTGGATAACGTTGATTGATTTTCGGATGTTGAACCATCCTCGTGTCCCTGGAATGAATTCTACTTGGTCATGGTGAATTATCTTATGGATACATTGTTGGATTCTGATAGCTAAAATTTTATTGAGGATTTTTGCATCAGTGTTCATTAAGGAGATTGGCCTGCACTTTTCTTTTTTGTGTTGTCCTTGTTTGGTTTTGGTATTAGTGTAATGTTGGCTTCATAGAACGTGTTTGGTATTATCCCTTCCTTCTCAATTTTTTGGAAGAGTTTGTGAAGGATAGGCAATAATTCATTTCTGAACATTTGGTAGAATTCATTTGTAAATCCATCAGGTCCTGGGCTTTTGTTTTGGGGGAGGTTTTTGATTACCATTTCAATTTTGCTGCTTGAAATTGGTCTGTTTAGGTGTTCTATTTCTTCTTTATCTAGCTTTGCGTGATTGTAGAGTTGTAGGAATTTGTCCATCTCCTCTAGATTGTTGAACTTGTTTCCATATAACTGTTCATAGTAGTTTCTGATTATT